AAACTATACAAGACCCTCACATTCTGTACATTTATTTTTCATCTCTATTTTTAAAAAGATTTTTTTTATTTATTTGACAGAGAGAGGGAGGGAAGGAAGAGGGGAGAGCGCACAAGCAGGGGGAGCGGCAGGCAGAGGGAAAAGAAGCAGACTCTCCACTGAGCAGGGAGCCTGATGTGGGGCTCGAACCCAGGACCCTGGGATTACGGCCCAAGCCGAGGGCAGATGCCAACCGACTAAGCCACCCAGATGCCCCTATTTTTCATCTCTATTTTAACAAAATATTGTAATTTTCATGTAAGAAGCAATGCAGCATAGTTGTTAAGTGTGCAGACCACTCAAATCTCAATTCTGTTCACTGGAATTGGGAAATCTGGAAAATGGGAAGAAAACCTTGAGGGCTTGTTTTGCAGAATGTAATGTGTCAATTTTATAAAAGTTTTAGAGCCATGTTGGGCACGCTGGCCCCTTGTGAGACCTTGTCATCAGTAGTAGTATGAATCCTCTTATCCTCTCAATAGGGGGGCAGGCAGACACTGCTCCATTTTTTGCATGTAAGAATTAAGGCTTGGGAAGCTAGCCATGTGCTTCACCTGTGAGTAGGTGGTGCTAACCTCTGATCCAGTGCTTAGCTAGGTCTGTGTTCTGCTGATGTGGGCACTGGAGCTTGTCACAATGAGCCCACTTCTTCCTCTGGGCTTCTGATTCACAATGGAAACCCATACAGATGGTTCATTCAGACATCATGCAACAGCAAAGTGCTAGTAAGATAAGAACCTTCCTGTTCAAAACTGTTTGGCTTCCAGAAGACAGGAACAGAACTTCAACTTAATTTCAGGGCACCCCCATGCCAGTCAAGTAACAGAGGGATCTTCTCTTTCATCCTGGCAGAAAGTGTGTGGTGCTTACTTTTCATTAATAACCCTTGGGCAAGGAAAACATCAAGCCACAAAGAAGGCTTTTTCCCCTCTGCCGGATTCTGTTAATGATGAACCTGATATGAGTATATGGAAATAACCAGGGACTACTGAAACACAAGGAATTTACACGGCACACCTTCCTGCGATGGAAGTTGTTAGTTTCACAGATATTACTGAATTTAAAACTACAGTGTTTTTATGATCACGAAGACCAATAGGACAGCAACACACAGAAGGGCCACGGGCTAACCCAGGTCATGCTCTGCAAGACAGTGGTGAAACACAGAAGCAGAGAACCACTTTTGGGGGCAAAACATTGTCCTCCAAGCCACTTAAGGTGTTTCTGATTGCCTGCATGGGTAAATGTGAGCTGGGCATTTCTAAGGGCAGGTCAAGGGTGAAACATGGTTTGCATTAATTATTTAATTGCAGCAAAGTACATATGCTTTGGCATTGCTCAATCAGCACCAAGTGGTGTCACGTTTTCATTCCCTGTGGGGGGAAAGTACTCAGTGACATGAACTATGCCCATAGCAACTACCTATAGCACTCTTCTCTCCTCTCGAAGGAGTCTACTCCCCGGGGACAGAATGCACCTCACAGTAAGAACAAGCTAACAAGATAAATCTGTGAAGTGCTTGAGATGATTTGCTTTTCCATTACTGGAGGAAAGGGATAGTATGGAGTTCCGTGTGCACTTAAACAAAGGCTAGTCAATGATATAAAAACCAACTGTTATAATATTTCTGAAAATCATTTATCAATGAAAATGACCTGTAAAATTAACATCCCTCCCACCTACAATTATTATCACTATTTTGTTCACCTCTGATTCTGTTTCTCTGTGAAAGAAAGGCGGGTTCTTCTAGTAAAGCACCGCAAATGGGCACAGATCCCTGAGCTAATCTCCAATCCCACTACTTTTCGGCAGGGGGGCCTTTGGCAGGTCTTTCAACCTCTCTGAACGTCAGTCTCTTCTTTGGAAGGAATAGATACCATCTGTCCTTGCTCACTGAGAAAGTGGTAAGGAAGTAAGTTGGATGACAGATGAAGTGTTACGAAGCTCATGCTAGAACTGGGCACTTAACAGCTGGGGAAAAGCGTCCACAAGAATCTTTGGGAATAGCAATGGCACTGGGTTTGTAAAAACAGAAGTGGTCTGACTTTACTCCATGATCTGAGCCTTCCCTTGCGCTGTCTTCATACACGATCTGAGTGTCCAAGGCGGGTGAGGGAAACTAACAGTGTAGAGTTTCCAGAAGCTGTGGTTCACATTAGTGTCTGGAAGCTACATTACTGGATATAAATATGCATGTGTGTGTGTACACACATGCGTTCGTGGGTATGGGGGTGTGCAGGTGTTGGGGGGAGGCGGCATACATGCAGGTACGTGGGCTTGTATATGTGTAGATGCGTATGCACGGGCACAAGGCTCCAGTGTGAGCATGTGTGTTCATTTGATGGGATCAGGAAGAGACCCAGGCAAAAAGATTACAAGTCCTTTCTGGCAACAGAAAACCCGAGTTTCATGAAAAGCAACCCAAGGACAAGAAAAGAAAGCCAATGAATATTCACTTTCTCTTAGATCCACTACTCAGTTTCCAGGACTGAGTCAACAGCCTGAGTAACTAAGCCATTATGTGACTGTCCCTGGGTGAAAACATTCTGGTCGACCTTTCCCTTTTGAGAATCTCATTGGTTTCTCGTCACTTCCTTCTGCTGGACTCTTACCTGTAGTAAGTTACCCTTCTCCCCCAATTTGTCCCTTAGACACCATACCAGTTTTTCATGTTTTGTAAATTCCATCCCTTGTGAACCCTGGTGACTGAAGGCTCTATCAATGCCAGCAGAATCAGGCTGACTGTTTACTAAAAACTTTCTCCTGGAATTGGTTCACAAGTGGACTCAGTCTTGCATTATTACTCACTGGTTCTTCAGCATGTGCCTGAGGCCAACATGGATTTGCACAGAGAGCCTCTGTCTATCTGTCTGTGCTTCGTTTAGCCTCTACCCGAGGGGCTGCTTCAAGGTTAAAGACGGGCTGGGAAGGATCCCAGATGAATTGTGCCACTGGCTGAGGTGCGATGTCTTTTCTACTCTCTGCCAATTTGTGTCAAATCGGCGCTGACCGTGCTATCAAAGGGCTTCCACCCATTACCCTACTGGGAAATGAAACTCATCTGATGGTGCAGTATTTGCAGTGGCAACATCTTCAGGCTGGGGGTGAACTGAATGGCTTTCCGCCTCTGCAAGATCAACTGCTTGGTCCATCTGTCTTTCAAGTTAAAGTGCCTTCAAATGACCCCTACAGAACTCCTGGCTCCACTGGGGAACACGTCCATCCCATGGCTCTAGGTTCACAAGAAGGCGGGTCTGTGTCTAGTTAGTAGCAGAGACTTAGTAACGCCCCAGATGTTTGCTGGAAAATATAGCCTCAGAGTTATTGCTACTCAGCACCTTTAAAATCTTCAGCCATGGACAATAGTCTCGGAGGACTTCCCAGGGGGTCTGTGGCCATCCGTTCCTCTAGATATTCTAAATCGCTCCTTGGACCATACTTTTTTTTTTTTTTTAATTTTTTTTTTAAAGATTTTATTTATTTATTTGACAGACAGAGATCACAAGTAGGCAGAGAGGCAGGCAGAGACAGAGAGAGGGGAAACGGGCTCCCTGCTGAGCAGAGAGCCTGACATGGGGCTCGATCCCAGGACCCCGAGATCATGACCTGAGCTGAAGGCAGAGGTTTAACCCGCTGAGCCACCCAGGCACCCTTTTTTTTTTTTTTTTAAGATTTTATTTACTTATTTGACAGAGAGAGAGATCACAAGTAGGCAGAGAGGCAGGCAGAGAAAGAGGGGGAAGCAGGCTCCCTGCTGAGCACAGAGCCTGATGCGGGGCTCGATCCCAGGACCCTGAGATCATGACCTGAGCTGAAGGCAGAGGTTTTAACCCACTGAGCCACTCAGGCGTCCCTGGACCATCCTTACAGTGAATCATACTGGTCCCCAGCAGGACTGTTTTCTCTGACCAAGTGATATAACTGGCCCAGAATGAGGGACATGACATGAAACTGCTCTATGCAAACTGTCACTGTTTACTGTGAAGTCATATTATATAATGTCCCCTCTAGAAGGATTCATGAGATAAAACCTCTTTGGTCTTAGTTCCAAGAATAGTTCTGCCTCTCTTGGGCAACTGGACTACTTTTACTGGGGCTGGGGGAACTACGTTGGACGTAGCTGGTCATGTTTCACATTTTGCATTGTCAGAAAGCAAGCTCAGAATCAAATCTATAGCCTATTTCTTTTACTTAAATAGAACTTGCAGAAACGCATTTTGCCGATTAACTTCCCCCTTTAGCTCTATCCATACCTTTTGTCTTTGTCTTTCTTTGCTAACTTTTTGTTTGTTTTATTTTGTTTTTAAAGATTTTATTTATTTATTTGGCAGAGAGAGAGATAGAGAGCACAAGCAGGGGGAGTGGCAGGCAGAAGGAGAGGGAGAAGCAGGCTCCCTGCAGAGCAGGGGAAGCCTGTTATGGGGCTCGATCCCAGGACTCCGGGATCCTGAACTGAGCCAAAGGCAGTGGCCTAACCCACTGAGCCACCCAGGCGCCCCACCTCTTTGCTACTTTTAACTGATTTTATTTTTCTGTGTTGAATAAATTTTGTTAGGTCATTTTTGAAGGCTTCTGAACTGAAATATAATACATCAGGAAAATGAGAAGCCACACGGAAGAGGTAATAGTAGATTAAACATAATATGTGGAAATGTCTCTGAATCTTAACCTTAGGGGTCTTATTAATACACCAGATAACGGGCAGGAATAACTGTTAGATCTATAACCAGTGAGCTTAACCTTAAAGCCTAAACAATAAGAACACACAGACATGATAAACAATGAGAAAAATTTAGAAATCAAGTTACAAAAGAGAACATAACCCAAACTCCACTGCCAACCTCTCAACCCAGCAACCTCTTCTGGGAGGCAGTCACCAAAGACCCTGATGCTTCCTGTACCTTCTACCTGATGACAACATTTCACTGCTGTTAAAAAGCACAGTACTCTAAATCACCTACCATGTTTGTGAATAAATGCGAGTCCTTGTAATATCTGGTACATGATATTCCTTATGGCAGATTCAGGAAACAACTTATTTCTGGATGGGACAGAGGAGGAAAAAAATTATAAATCTAGATTTACATATGAAAACAAATACTCTATGTTCCTGTTCTTTTGGTTACACAGTAGGAATTTAAGAAAACATTTGCTTACACACAAATGCGACCAGATCCTTTGATAACAAAGACCAAAGAAAAACAACCATTTGTCCATACAAGACAGCTACCTTGTCAACACTGCTGTATTGGTATATTGGCAATTGGTATATTCAGTTATGTTACTAAGAAGAAAAGATTAAACATTTTATGGGAGCCACCCCTCCAAACCCTCTGATCTATCATATAAAAATCTTCTCTCTCCATAATATGAAACTTGAAAAATTTGTAATGGGGAAAATCTGAGGTCTTCCAGATGAAGTCCTTACAAAATGTAGTAGATAGTTGGGAATAGTGCCGTATTCCCCTCCAAGTCGGGCAAACCATGCCACTTTTCTGCTGTTGGTGACCGTGAAGACTGTATTTATTGACTGAGTTCATTCAGAGAGAAGCTGTGAATGGCGCTCATTTGCCACTGAGAAAATATCCCCAAGAAGTTCCATGTGGCTCACTTTAGTTCAAAAGTTCAAAATGACCATCGCAGGCAAGTTTGTTATTAGTTTCCTCTTCCCAGCACGTAAGCCCCTGCACCCTGTACAGCAAGAAGGGAAGTTCGAGAAACCAAGTTCTCGATGGAGGCCTCAGAATAAATGAGGCCATTACACCCTGACCTCTAGTTGCTCTGTCCATATGTCCTCGTCGGAATGGAGAGCTGCAGAGTTTCTGTTCCATCTCTGAGCTTCTCTGGGTGAATAACCCATTGAAGCATGAAAACGGCTACACTGAAAGTCGCTTCTATGAAGCCATCCCGAGGCCTCCCGAGCAGGAATGTGGGCTGGGCCCCTCATCCACTGGGAGGCTTTCAACAAGGAAGCCTAAGCAGCATTAAGTACGATAGACAAAAGCAAAAAGAAAACACATGTACTTTGTGGTCTTTATTTCTAAGATCGTGAAGACCAAACTGTACCTTTCCTTAATGAGCTGGTAAAGATTTTCCTTCATGTACTCGAAGATAAAATAAAGATGATCATTTTCCCTGATAACTTCTTTTAATTTTACTACATTGGCATGGTTGAGCTTCTTTAAAGACTGAAAGGAGAAACAGAAGAAAATGAGAGGAAATCTGTTGCTGGAAAAGAAAAGCAGTGGCACGTATACTTCGGAAGAAACATCTAATTCTTCAGAAGAACCACAGAAATGCCACAATTCCCATTTCACTGACAATACATGGTATTTCTCCGAAGTCAATAATGACTTCATGTAGCAAAGCCATTGTGATTAGCTGACTAGCCAGTAAGTACTTGACCATGACGGGTATTTCTGGCCACCTGCTACACCAGGCAATGGGCTTGGGCTATTTTAGGCCCACTCCCTCCAGATGATGGAATTCATGCCATGAAAATGGCCAGAAGGGAACCAATGGGAAGCTGAGGCTTTGATCGTTTTAGTATTAGAGAAGGCAGCTGCTCTGGGCCGAGATGACCAGCCAACAGTCTGCAGACGCTTTGAACGGGAAATTGTTCTCATAGACAGAGGCTGACAGCCCGAGGCTCTCAACTTCGTTGGACTCATGTGTGTCCATGAGGCACACAGCAGTCCTTACGATGGGTGTTTTTTTTTTTAATGTTTTATTTAATTCAAGTTAGTTAACACATGATGTAGTACTGGCTTTCAGAAGAGGTATTTAGTGATTCATCACTCACATGCAACACCCAGCGCTCATCCCAACAAATCCCCTCCTTCATGCCCAACCCCCATCTAGCCCATCCCCCACCAATGTGAGTTTTAAAGGAGAAAGGGGGAAGAGGAGAAATCTCGGGGCACATGGGTAGCTCAGTCATCCAGCGTCTGCCTTCGGCTCAGGTCATGTTCCCAGAGTCCTGGGATCGAGCCCCGCATCGGGCTTCCCGCTCAGTGGGAAGCCTGCTTCTACTTCTCCTGCTTCCCCTGCTTATGTTCCTCTCTCTCTCTCTCTCTCTCTCTCTGTGTGTATGTGTATGTGTGTGTGTGTCAAACAAAGAAATAAAATCTTAAAAAAAAAAAGAGGAGAAATCTCATTGCAAAGCACTCCCATCCCCCCACCCCACCAAGGTGAGAAGGGAGAAAGAGCTCTGCTTTCAAGAACAGCAAAGGCAAAAAAGGGCAGGCAGGTGATGAGAAACGAGGGTGGCTCAGAAAACGGGGTGTGACCTGATTCTTTACCCTTGTGCACGTGCAGTTCTCCTGTTCCTGACGCATCCACCTGTCAACTTTTTTCTGTTTGCATCATTAGTTCTGTTGATGGTGAGTGAGGACACTTTTTTGTTCGTGAGCAGTGATCCTGTTCATGTACCACAGCCAGGGAAACTGCAGCTTTGCTCACCAGATGGTCAGAATTTGATTAACAGTCTCCTGCAAGGGAGCCTCCAAGGGCCATGGGCCAGTGGGATGAGCCCTTTAATTCCAAAAGCCTTCTCCTCACAGAGAAGTGACTCCAATGATAATACATTGTAAAGCCCTCCTGATCTTTGAATTTCCTTCCAAAGAACACTTCTTTTGTAAAATACACACGGTGGCTGAAGACAAAAAGGTGAACATGAATATCCAAATCTAGAAGGACACCCAGTAATAATGCACCCAAGGAATGACAGCTTGGGAGTGTTGTAAACACATTGAGTTACTTCAAGCCACAAGGAAGAGAGAGGAAATATGGCCAGTGAATGAGAACAAAATCAAAGTCTTCTGAAGCCTCTTTCCTGAAAGACAAACTCCTGCCAAGGAGCCTCTCAGGCAGGAAGTCCTCAACCGAAGGCCGGATCCTTCTGGAATGACCCAACCAGGCCAACTACTTGTTTTAGTTAGGCTGATTTCCAGGTTCTCCATGAGTAACAAACACAAACATTGCTTAACTCTTAAGTATTCAACCCTGCAGCCACCTTTTCAATTCGCTTAAAATGCATCCCAACCACAGCTGACGCATGTCCAGCGGGTGAGCCGCAGAACCAACTGGGCAAATTCAGTCAGAGGAAAAGGAAGTAGGTTTTTTAAAGCTTTTCAAGAGGAGGATTCTAGGTAAGGAGCAGAGTACCTTAAATGTTTGGGCTGACGTATGTTTTGAGAATGAATTACTGGTTCAGGGCTCATAGCTGTTTCTGCGTGAGTCCCGTGGATAAGTAAAGCCTTTATTGGTTTAATATAAAAGGGATGAATTCTGTGTGGGAGATTTCGTGGGACTCATTACAGGGAGAAGGCATCTTATTTAGGCACAGGGAAGGTTTACAAGGAGAGGAAGAGGCAGGACAGTTAGAGCTGAGAAGCACAAATAGCAGATTAAACCCAGGTCAGCAGTCCAAGTGGAGAGTGTGGATCCCCATTTGGGTGAAGGTTCTTAACAATCAAACAAAACTACAACGAACTACTCCTCAAGGGTGCCCTGGGGCATGAGGCACAGTCCTTGCTTGTAAGGGGCAAACAACCTAATTAAGAAGAGAGGATATGAATACAAAAATCTACAGAACAGAATGAAGGAGATTTTATTAGGGTCAAGAGAATGACAGAGACAAGTTAGAGACAACTTAGAGACAAGAAACAGAGACAACTTGGAAATGTTTCAAGAAGGAGTGATCAGCAAACTGAATGGTCAATGAGTGTATTATTCTCAATGTAACCTGAAGGAAGAGTAGCATCTTGACGAAGTCAGTGGGAGGGAAAGGGTATGTCGGGAGAGAAGCCCTTCTTAGGTATGGGTGTGTGAGTGGAATGGCGTGGTCTATGCCTGAGGGACGAGAACCGCCCCAGTTTGGTTCTGAAGGAAGCCCATCCAGAAGACTCCAACAGGGCAAGTGGGCAGAGAAGATACTGGTTGGATGCCAGATGTATATATATACGCCTTGAAGCCTGACAAACGTGGGTCTGAAACCAAGCTTTGTGGCCTTAGAGTTGTTGTTACCTCAAGCACATGACTGAGTCTCTGGGTCGCAGCTGTTCTCAGCAGCAAACCCAAGGTACTAACAGTTTCCTCGTGAGGTAATTGTGAGAATGAAATGAAAGACAGTGCATGTGCTGCCTGGCTCAGAGTATCGTCTCAGGAAACAGTAGGTAGTGTGTGAGCAGCTGAATGTCACCGAGATCATTCTGGGGACAGCACACTGGGTGGAGGAGATGTGGAGGAAGTGAGGTCACAGAGGCCACCTGCAGTGAGCTGCAGTTTCTGGGTGAATGGGTAAATGATCATTAGCAGAAGAGGGAGAAAATAGGAGCACTGGGGAGGCAGACATTCTAGAAAATTCAGGTACTGATATCCATGAAGCAGTTGGATATGTGGGCCTGAAGCAAGTGTCAGCAAACTTTTCTTAAAAGGACAGAATATAAATATTTTAGGCTATCTAGGTCCCTGCCACAAATACTCAACTTTGCTATCAAAGCATGAAATCCTCCATAGACAATATGTATGTAAGTGGACAAGTGTTCCAACAGAACTACATTTAAACAGGACGTGGCCATTCATCAATCTCTGGTCCAATGTTTACAAAGAATAAAAGATCTGACGAGACCACTGAAGTGAGGGAAGTAAATGAAATTACTCGGGAGGAGACTTGGAGCAAAGGAGAACACCGCTAAGGATGAAATGTGAGAAATCATTGCTCTGTAAAGGGTGAACTACAGAGTACTTGGTAAAGGCAAGAAAGACGTAGGACAGTGGCTCCTGGGTGGCTCAGTTGGTTAAGCAACTGCCTTCGGCTCAGGTCATGATCCTGGAGTCCCAAGATTGAGTCCCACATCGGGCTCTCTGCTCAGCAGGGAGTCTGCTTCTCCCGCTGACCTCTCTCCTCTCATGCTTTCTCTCTCTAATAAATAAATAAATAAAATCTTAAAAAAAAAAAAAAGAGGTAGGACAGTGGGGCAAAAAGCACAGTCACACAGCCCTGGGAGAAGACAGCACTCAACACTACAGGCAAGAAAATGCCTAAGAAAACGAACTGGAGGGGTGCCTGGGTGGCTCAGTCAGTTAAATGTCTGTCTTTGGCTCAGGTCATTATCCTGGGGTCCTGGGATTGAGCCCCACACCAGGCTTGCTGCTCAGTTGATCAGGGAGGATGGAGGGTACATATATTTATTTAGAGACTGAAGAGAAGGAGCCAGTGGAAAGGAAGAGCTTAAAGAAATGGGAAGGTTCACAAGAGCCGAAAGGTAGGAGCAGCCCAAGTGACCATCAACGGGTGAGTGGATCAACAAAACGTGGCATATACCTACAACTGACTAGGATTTTGCCTTAAAAAGGAAGGAAACTCTGACCCAGGCTATGACATGAACCTTGAAGACATGACGCCAAGTGCAAAAAGCCAGGTACAAGAAAGAACTACTGTATGATTTCCCCTTACCTGAGGTGCCTGGAGCAGTCAATTTCATAGAGACAGAAATTAAAAGGGTGTTTGCCAAGGGCTAGGGGCAGAGGGATTGTGGGGGTTGTTGTTTAACGAGTTCAGAGTTTCAGGTGTGCAAGATGAAGAGCGTTCTGGAGGTGGATGGAGGTGAGGCCCATACAATACAAATGTCATAAATACCACTGAATGGTGCACTTACAAATTCGTAATATGGTAAATTTCACATATGTATATTTCACGACATTTGGAAAGGGAAAGAATGTTAGTAGGAAATGTGTGAGATCAGAATAAATCTGTGGTTTAGTTAACAGTAATATACCAAAATTTTAAAAAGTAGATTTCTTAATATTTTAGCAAGCTTCTCCTTTGAGCTATTTGTTGTATAATGTTGTTATTTGCCCCCTTTTGTTGGCATCAGTGGAACAATTCAAACAGAATGACTAACACTATCAACCATAAATCTAAGCAGGTATAAAGTTATTTTAATCAACCATACATAAATTATTCCTTGGTGTATTAATAAATACCTTAACCTCCCGAAGGTTCATGCATTCCTCCCAGGAATAAAACTTTCTTTTCATTCTAAAAGAGAACAAAGAAACAAATAATGTGTTATTCTCAGTAATAGGCTCAACTTTCTTGTTTAAAAATGGTTTCATTCAGGGATGGGGGAGGAGGGTGGATAAACAAAAAACCCCAAAACCTAAAAAACCCAAAAAACCTCAAACCCAAAACAAAACAAAAAAATGTTTTCATTCTGAATCTAATGAGTAGTGCTTAAAGCTGGTTTCAATTTCCACCAAATATTATACTATTCAAAACATTCATTTTAAAATCTGGCAGTGCAATCAAACCTACATCACAAAATTTCCCAGAGGTGGTACAGAGCAGGGCAGGGCAAGACCTCTCCAGCTGTCTTGCTCCATCACAAACTGGCTAACCTTGTCTTGGAGGCTAATCCCTCAGGCTTCTTTGATCTAGACTAGAGCTTTCTAACAGAACTTTCTATATTGATGGGAATGTTCTGTGCTGTCTAGTATGGTAGCCACGAGACTACATAAATCTGGGTAGAGAGTACTTGGAATATGGCTAGCATAACATAGGAACTCAACTTTTAATAAAATTCACATTTAAATGTCCTATGGTTACTTGCTACCCTGTTGGACAACACAGTTCTAGACCTTCTGGTGCAGGGACTGGCAAACTATGGCCCATGGGCCATCTGTACCCCACCATCTCTTTAAATAGTTGGGGAAAACACATCAAAAGAAGATTAAGAATTCACGACTTGTGAAAATTTTATGAAATTCACATTTCAGTTTCCAGAAAGTGTTTTATTGGAATACAACCACACTTATTCATGTACATGTGGCCTATGGCTGCTTTTACAGGAATGCAGAACTGTGTTGGGGCCGAGACCATGTGGCCTGCCAAGCGTAAAATATTTACTGTGTGGCCCTGTACAGAGGTTGTTTGCCAACCCCAGCCAATAGCCTGAGGGGAGAGAAAGAGAACCCTACAGGCTAACTGGAAACTCAAGTTTCAAGGTTCCACCTCTCATCGCCCTGCAATCATATGGTCTCACTGGACTCTTCCAGCAGCCCCGGTGAAACAGACGGGACAAGGAAGGAAATGAAGAAACAGAGAAGTCGTGTGATTTTCCCTAAGGTCTTCCTGCTGGATAATGGGAGGCTAACTTGAATCTTTCCACCTCACTCTCACACTCTGTCCCCACTGTCACATGGTCCGCTGGTGGAGTTTACGCCCCAAATATTCTTTAGCCTCTCCTTCATGGCAGGGGCTTTGTCATGCACTAGGGACACAACGGTGAGAGGGGCATCCCTCGTGGGCCTCACACGGTGGCAGGAGGGTGGGCAATTAATCATCACTTTCTGTGCTGAGTGCCAGGAAGGAAAGGCACAGGACACCATGAGGGCAGATTCCAAAGTAACCGAATTTAGTCTGGGCTATCAGGAAGCACTTCTTTTTTTTTTTTTTTTTTTTTTTTAAGATTTTATTTATTTGACAGACAGAGATCACAAGTAGGCAGAGAGGCAAGCAGAGAGAGAGGGGGAAGCAGGCTCCCTGTGGAGCAGAGACCCCGATGCGGGGCTCGATCCCATGACCCCGGGATCATGACCTGAGCCGAAGGCAGAGGCTTTAACCACTGAGCCACCCAGGCGCCCCCAGGAAGCACTTCTGAAAGAGATGATGTTTTAATTAAGACCTGAAGGAGCAGCAGAATTTAGCCCCTGGAGGCAGGAGGCAGGGAATATCAATGTGAAGGTTAGGTGTGGGAAGGTATTTGACTTAAAAAAAAAAAAAGGTATCTGATGAGTTCAAGAAGCTGAAAGGCCAGAGTGACAAAAATGATGTCAGCAGGGGGTTAGTGACAGGAGGTCAGACTAAAGAAAACAGGGAGCAGCCAAGTGATGCAGCACGTTATAGGTCACATTAAAAATTGGGGGCTTGATTCCTAAAGTTGATAGGAAGATATTGCAAAATGCTGTGGTTTGGGTTCCTCTGAAAGCAGAGCGTGAGGCAAGGACTTGGGTACAGGTGGTTTATTTGTGAGGTGATTCCAGGAAGATAGAGCAAGGACCAGGGAAAATGGAAACAGAGACATGGGAAGCCCATTAAAGTGTATGTTACTGAGCTGATACCAAGGTGTGCAATTGGGGCTTAGTCCTGCTGGGGGCCTTCTATTGGTCGGTATGGAGGGTGCCCTAGTTGAGATCTCCCATATGCTTTTGGGGGTAAGGGTCCTGGTAGTGGGCATAGAACTGTACACCGCAACACACCGAAATCAGGTGGGGCAAGGTGATGAGATGGGGCAGCAGAGACACAGTGTTTGGTGCAAAGGATTTTAGACAATTAGATTCATGTGTTTAAAGTAATCCCTTCAGACTGGAATGGAGAGGAGTAGAACGGAACTCAGGAACCCTAGAGAGGAGATTATTCCAGTGGTAGAACTGGTAAATGATAACGGGTTGAGTGGGAGATTGGCAGAGTGAACACAGAGCAGTAGGTGGGTCAGATAAATATACAGTAGTCGGAATCTACGGGGCTAGGTGGCCAATGCTGGGCATCCAGAGGGAGGTCAAGAGGATGTGCAGGTTTTGAAGGAATGGTGGTATCATTTTCAAGACAGGGAACACTGAAGGAAAACAGGTTTGGGGCAAGAGAGGGAAAATGTTGGATAAAAGCTCAGTTCGGGATGTAATGAGTTCAAAGTGCCTGCAGGGCATCCAGATGGAGACGTTGAGAAAGTGACTGGATATAGATGGGTATGGTGGGCAGGCCCTAAAATGGTCCCTGAAGACTCCCACCTCCTAGTGCCTGGGATAATGCCTCCCCTTCAATGACCTGTTTCTAACCAGTGGAATACAACAACCTGAGAGGAGGTCACTTCTGGGATTAGTTAACAAAAGCAGAAAGATGGGACTTCCACCTTGGTAGAAGCCTCTCTCACGGCCTTCATGGCCCCATCTTGAAGCAAGATGCCAAGTTGTGAGCTGTTCTTTGGAGAGGCCCACAATGCAACCACGAGGGAGGTATGGAATGCTGCCTGCAATCACGTGAGTAAGCCTAGAAGTGGATCCTTTCCCAGTCCAGCCTTCTGCCAAGACCCCGGCACTGGTCAACACCTTGACTGCAGCCTCATGAGAGACCCTAAAGAACTCACCTAAACTCTGAGATCATAAATGTGTATAGTCTTAAACAATGAATTCTTAGTTTTAAACATAGCAACAGATAACTAATACATACTGCAAAGGGCAAGTAAACAGGGGAGAGGAAGACAGCAGCCCCCAGACTACCACCATGTGTACCATGTGTAAATGACCCAAATTAAGTCACTTAACTTCTCCGAGTTTCAATCTCCTCTCCAATGAATGTTTCTAAACCTGCTCGTTATTATGTCACATTAGGCTAACACTTTGTTTTATTTTCTTTTCTTTAGGATAAGACCCTTTGAAAAAGTACTAGTGCTGTATGCAAATCTAAAGTAGGGATGTGTTTAAGACCTCTGCCATGAACATTCCAGAGCCGAAAGTTACCTAGCCTACAGAAATCAATGTCTAAGACTTTCCTCCAGGGGCGCCCGGGTGGCTCAGTCGGTTGGGCAGCTGCCTTGGGCTCAGGTCATGATCCCGTAGTCCTGGGACTGAGTCCCTCATCAAGCTCCCAGCTCCACGGGGAGTCTGCTTCTCCCTCTGATCTTCTCCGCTCTCCTGCCTTCTCTCACTCTCTCTCAAATGGATAAATAAAGTCTTAAAAAAAAAAAAAAACTTTCCTCCATGCATCCTACCTCCCCACCCCCTTTAGAAATTTTTCAGTAGTGAGAAATGCAGAGGGTAGAGTTAAAATGATGTTGACAATGTGGAGTTGAAGATGAACTGATACAAGTGGAGAATAAAACTTACTTTTTAATGGCAATCAGTTCCCCAGACTCAATGCTCCGTCCCAGTAGGACGGAACCGTAGGTTCCATCCCCGAGTTGCTTGATCGTTGTGTATCTATTCATGGTGTGCCCGCTCAGGCCGGACACTCATCTCAGGGCCGAGGCGGTGCAGTCCTGCAGAGGCGGCAGGCCTCCCCGGAGTGTAACCAGATTTTTCGATGGCAGCACCAGCACAAGGTATTCAATAGAACGTGACTATCTCCCAAATACATATTTTCAAAGATCAGTCTTCTGCCTGTAGAGACAAATGCGAGACAAGGGTAACTGCTAATGTGCATTTTTTTAAATTTGTGTATTTTTATTGTTTAAATCGGGGCTCAGCAAATGACAACCCCCCCCCACCTGTTGTTGTAAATAAAGTTTTATTGGAACATGGCTATGGCCACTCATTTGTACATTGTCTACAGATGCTTTCACACACAAGAGCAGAATTCAGCAGTTGTGACAAGGACTATATGGCTTACAAAACCTAAAATATTTATGATCTGGACATTTATGGAAAAAGTTTACCAACCTCTGGCCTAAATAAGGCTCTTTTTAATTTTTATAAGATGAGAGATACCACTCTTGGAAAGTGAATTTATCACTGACTCAGAAATGAATCAGTTGCAATTCAATGCTTTTCTGCTGACCAGCCACTGTGGGCAAACACGGCATGAAAACTACGGTCGAGAAAAATTGCCGAGCTACAAAAATCTGTACTAAATATACCGTGTTCTGCGTAATTCTGCTACGATTTACAATGTAACAAAGCCAAGAAATGTTAAAATTAAAGTTCTCCCGATACAGAATTTACATGTGCTCCACGGACTATTTGTGGCAAGGCATCAACAGTATTATTTTTACTACTAGACATACAGAAGCTAAACAAGGAACAACGAATTTCTTAAGGCCTGTATGTAGGGTGTGCCCTTTTAAAAGTCATTCAGTTATGTTTTCTTTAATAACAAATTATGGTTTTGCAATTTATAAAATTGAGTCATTCAATCTGCCTATAATAAAGAAAATGTAGTAATAAGTGATTGCAATGCTTTTACATAAACAATAATAAATTATAAATACGAAAATAAAGGTTTTTATGGTTTTGTTTTGTTTTGTTTTTAATGTAAGCTCTACGTGCAACATGAAGCTTGAACTCATGACCCTGACATCAAGAGTTGTCGCATTCTCTACCAACTGAGCCTACCAGGCACTCTTGAGGAAAATAAGGCTGTCAAACTAATTATCTGAAAAATCAAAAGATCAGAAAATACTCATTAGAAGTATGTGAACTTCTGCATCTAAATCCAGTCCACGCAGCTTCTCCTTCCAGAAGAATTCCAATCAATAAAAGCAGAAGGAAAGAGGGAAATAAAAAATTCACTGTTAGGCAAATACCACAGTAAGATTTGTTGCAGACAACAGTCCTGATGGATGCAAATATGAGTGGATGAAAGGTTGAGGAGAAACAGGATACTTACATAGTTTTGAAGTATCTCTAAGATGCTTATTAACTTCAAAGGGAAAGATGGTAACTCCATAGGGAAAAATCCAGCAGAATCTTTCTTACCCAAAGCAATCAAATTCAGTATCACCATTTATAAAACTTACAACCTCATGAACCCTGAATATGTGTTATGAGAAGGGCATCTCCCTTCCATGGTATTCTTATAAAAAATGCAGAACCTCATTCTATTCATAAGAAAACTTCAGACTAATCCAAAACGAGGGACATTCTACAAATGACCTATAGTCTTCAATAGTGTCAAGATCATAAAAGGCAAGGACAGGCTGAGGAACTGTGACAGATTGGAGGTAATTAAAGAGATGTGACCAGCTAAGTGCAATGTGGGATCCTGAATAGGACCCTGGAACAGAAAAAAGACATTAGTGGAAAAGTTTGTGAAATCTAAATCAGGTCTGTAGCTTAGTTAATAGCAATGTGCCAATGCTAATTTCTTGGTTTTGATCATTGTTCTTTTGTTAGAGAACTTGTTAATATTAGGGGAAGCTAGGTGAAGGATTTCTAGGAATTTTCTGTATGGTTTTTTGTAACTCTTCTGGAAGTCCAAAATTAGTTCAGAATTTAAAAATAAATCCGGGAGAGGCGCCTGGGTGGCTCAGTCGTTAAGCTTCTGCTTTCAGCTCAGGTCATGATCCCAGGGTCCTGGGATCGAGCCACACATCAGGCTCCCTGCTCAGTGAGAAGCCCGGTTCTCTCTCTCCCACTCTCCCTCCTTGTGTTCCCTCTCTTGCTATGTCTCTGTCAAATAAATAAATAAAATCTTAAAAAAAAAAAAAACCCACAAAATAAAAATAAATAAATCAACAAATCCAGGAGATTTATTTATTATGAGACCCAGCTGCATGTGACTCTCGATCTCAGAGTTGTTTAAGTTTGAGCCCTACATTGGGGGTAGAGATTACATTAAAAGCTTTTTAAAATAAAATCTTAAAAACATAAATCCAGTCATATTCCACTAAATGGGAGAAGCTATTTGCAAATGATGCATCTGATAAGGGGTTAATATCCAAAATATATAAAGAACTTACACAACTCAGTACCAAACGAACTAAAAATGGGCAGAGGACCTGAACAAACATGTTTCCGAAGAAGACATCCAGATGACCAACAGACACATGAGAAGGTGCTCAACATCACTCATCATCAGGGACATGCCAAGCAAAACCACCACCAAGATATCACCTCACACCTTTCAGAATGGCTAACATTATAAACACATGAAACAACAAGTGTTGGCAAAGATGTGGAGAAAAAGGAACACTCATGCACTGTTGGTGGGAATGCAAACTGGCACAGCCACAGCGGAAAACACCATGGAGGTGCCTCAAAAAATTAAAAATAGAATTGCTCTGATCCAGTAATTGCACTACTGGGTATTTACCCCAAGAAAACAAAAACTTGATTTCAAAAACATATATGCACCTCTATATTTACTGCAGCACTATTTAGAATAGCCAATATATGGAGGTAGTCCAGGTATCCACTGACAGATGGATAAAGATGTGCTATATACACACAATGGAATATTACTCAGTCATCAGAAAGAATGAAATCTTGTCATTTCTGACAAGGATGGACCCAGAGAGTATAATTCTAAGTGAAAGAAGTCAGTGTGAGAAAGACAAATACCATATGATTTTACTCATACGTGGAATTTAAGAAACAAACCAAAACAAAAAGAGACCAAAAAACAGAGTCTTAAATATAAAGAACTGTGGTTGTCAGAGGGGAGGTGGGTGGGGGGATGGGTGAAAAAAAAAATCCAGTCTGTTCTTGCAAAGGTTGTGCAGGTCTTTGGTAAGCTTTAAATGTAAAGCTTATATCTGATTTCATCACACTCTATAACTGGAGACCTTTCAGAGAACAAACTGTCCCACCCCAAACTTATTCCCCTCCCTCAGAGCCATTTTGAGGCCCCTGATCAAAGGCGCATGTTCCTTCCTCTTGAACTCTGACAAGCTCAAACTCCCTGCAACTTCCTACAGCAGCTCTTTACAGTGACATCTTCTACTGCTGATTAATAAATACTTATAAAGCCCCTCCTGTGTGAGAGACCCTATGTTCCAGCCTGAGGATACAAGGAATATAAAGTATTGTTCCTTTTTTCAAAGCTCTTAGAGTCTCATGGCAGGGGGATAAGGGTACACAGTGTGTGGGCCCAGATAGGTACTCATGAATATGCACTAAGATATTTCAAGTATGCTTACATTTCGGGTTCAGGACATTGGCAAGGTTAAAGGGACACCCGCCCGCTGCACTGCTGACTTCCAGTTGGGTCAATTCCATCTGAGCTGAGAAAGGGCATATGCAAAGTCTTCACAGAAGACAGAGCTTGAGAGAACAAGAAAAGTAGGTGTTTGGTAAGGTCAAACATTCTAGCAGTTCAAGGAGCAGAAACAAAGGCATCAACCTGGGAGGAAGGAAAAGGTGGGGAGCTTGGAACTGGGGAGAGTGAACCCCAGAGTTTTGTTTGTGGAGCGCCTTAGATGCCATTTTGAAAAACATAGGCTTTGACTGGATCCTGTACCAAAGGAGATGAAACGCTACAAAGGACATCATTGGGCCAATGGAGAAGACTGGAATATAGATGGTAGATGAGGTGAACTTATTTCATCTGCTAAAGTCCCTAAAGTTGATACCTGTCCTGTGGTTCTGTAAGAGCATGGTCTTATTTTTAGAAAACATACCCTGAAGGATTTATAAGTAAAGGACCACGATGTACACGATTTATTCTCAATTGGGTAGAACAAAAAGATTGGGGGGGGGGGTGTGTGCAGGGAATGGTGTGAGTGTAAAGACAGAGGGAACATATGGGGTAAAATGTTAACAAAAGGTAAATCTGGGTAAAGGTATATGGGTATTCTTTGCACTATTCTTGCAAGTTTTCTGTATGTTTGAAATTATTCTACTTTGAAGTTTTAAAAGTTCTCAAAATGGTAGAGGAAGAGAATCTTTAAAAAGATACCTACTGCAAACTTCAGCTTAAGATATACAAGTGTAGAATTATTCAATAAAAACTAATATTAGAACACTATCATACAACATGGCTGTATTTCAAAACAACACAGAAAGAGTACTTGAACCACAACATAAGCAATTTTTGACTCTTTGTTCTCTCCTTTTTCATATTTACCTCTATCTGGTTTTTTTTTTTTTAATTTTAAAAGATTTTATTTATTTATTTGACCGAGAGAGTGAGAGCACAAGCAGGGGGAGGGACCAAGGGAGAGGGAAAAGCAGACTTCCTACTGAGCAGGGATCCTGAAGTGGGGCTTGATCCCAGGACCCCAGGACCACACCTGAGTCAAAGGTAGATGCTTAACCACCTAAGCCATCCAGGTGCCCTAAGCTTTTTGTATTTTTTTTTCTTTTTAACTTAAGAATAACATGACCAGATTTGTATTTTGTAATCCAGTTAATGAGAATATTTTTCTTTATATCCAACTAAAACTTTCCTTTTCTAATTTAAGCTAATTCTTCATGCTTCATTTTGTTGCTGATATAAAAGAGAGTATCCCACAAATATGTGTGTCTACGTGAAATTGTAATCAAATGTGTGTCTCTCAGCCTTCTGCTTTAATTATGCAACCTTTCCTCATAGGACCTTTTTCCACTCCTTTAATTATCTTTTGGCATTCATCTCTGAGTCCTCGCACATTTCTCCATCCCCTTGATGAGCTGTGGTGACCAAACTTCATAACGATGTACATTCCAGTAGCATGTGGGCTTTC